GATATGTGGGCCTCTCACTGTCGTGGCCTTTCCCGTTGCCGGACGCGCAAGCTCAGCGGCCACGGCTCACAGGCCCAGCCGCTACGCGGCATGTGGGATCCTCCCAGACGGGGGCACGAACCCGTATCCCCTGCATCGGCAGGCGGACTCCCAACCACTGCGCCACCAGGGAGGCCCTGCTTGTATATTTTTTAATCTAAATTTATTTGCATGAGATTTGCTACTTTACTTTTCATTTCAAAAACATTTCTTTAAACGTTCTACTAATAGTCTAAATATTTTCTAATTCTTTATATTTGAATCTTTACTACTTTCTTTCATCTGTTTTCCATGGGATATATTTAAAATAAATTATTGAGTTGAATGCTTTATTAATTTCCCTTCTCTGTTTAGCTCTTAATAAATAAGCATTTAACATTATAAATTTATCTTTCAATATAATTCTAAATGTATTCTTTACGTTTTCATGATTATTATTTTCATTGCTTGCTAAATAGGTGCTGAGCATTGTCATTTTTTTCCCCTTGTCTGGTATAATAGCATTTTGGGAGAGAGAATGTGTTTTTAAAATTGTCTTGTGGTTGAAATTGTGAAATTTAAACTTTCATTTATATCTTATTTTGTGTCATTTGCCTCAAGGTGTAGCTTGTTCAATTTTTATTTTAAAACTGTACTGAACTTTAATTTGTTAGTGTGTGGAAATATTACAGTGTTTCAAGAATTATTGAGAAAGACACATTTTCTGTTAACAGACTAAAATGTCTGAGTAAATGGTCATACTTCCATTTACTAGTTTTAGCAGTCAAGTATTTTATGTCCTTACTTGTTACTTAAAAAAAGTTACCTACATCTGTGACTCCATTTCTGCTTTGTAAATAAGTTCACTTGTACCAGCTTTTTAGATTCCTCATATAAGCGGTACAAGGTGGGAAGGGGTGAAGGGGGGATAAATTGGGAGACTGGGACATTGACATATACACACTACTATATGTAAAAAAAATAACTAATAAGGACCTACAGTATAGCACAGGGAACTCTACTCAATACTCTGAAATGGTCTATATGGGAAAAGAATCTAAAAAAGAGTGGGTATATGTATATGTATAACCGATTCACTTTGCTGTACACCTGAAACTAACACAACATTGTAAATCAACTATACTCCAATAAAAATTTTTAAAAATTTACCTAGTAGTTCATAATCTGTTGGTAATGTAATGATGTCTCCCACAGTGATTATGTATATGTTGGTTTCTCTTTAAATGTCTAAAAAGTTTTGCTTGATTTTTTTTCTGTTAGTATTGTTATTTATGTCATTGTTATTATAAATTGACTGTTACTCTACTTTGCCTTCTGCCTCAAATTCCAGTCTATTATCCCAATTTTTAAAAATGTATTCTTTCATTAAAAATTACTTTTATTTATGTCTCTTGTACACAGTAAATTATCAGATTTGGGTTTTTAATTCAAGCTGAGTTTTTGCCTACCTAATAAGAAGTACTCAATGAATATTTTAAAGTGATATTTAACCTTGCTAAATTCCTTTTTGTCTTTTATTTTGTTTTAGGTGGGCCATAAAACATGAAGGGACTGGTAAGCCAGGCCAGTGGAAACATTCCAGAGTTGAAAACCCTCTCTGGAATAAGCTTACCTACATGTGGCCAGTCCTTCCCAGTGGCCAACTTAATGAGGTTGTACTGCTTAGTATAAGACATCGTTGTTGAGCCTTATTTTAAGTCTCAGTATGTGGTCAATGTGTGTGAAAATTTCCATGAAGTTTTTGATTTGCAGTTGTTAGGTGCAAGTGATCAGTTGATGCTGTTGTTCTATCAATTAATTAGAAAGATGCATTTAAGTCATCCAATATGGAATGGATATGAAATTTATTTCTTCTTCTAGTCTTTCATATTTTGCTTTATATATTTTGAAATTTAGTTCTAGACACACACATGTTCAGAAATACTATATCACCCTGGTGCATTGAAACTTCTATCATTATGTAGACTCTCTCTAGCTCTAGTAAAATTTTCAGTTATCCAATACGAATAGAAATATCTCAGCTTTTTTTGTTGTTGTTATTTGCCTTATATATCTTCTTTCTATCCTTTACTTTTTATATTTGTGTACTCTTCTGTTTTAGGGGGACTCTCCAGTAATCAGCATATAGTTAATTTTAAAAAATGGTCAGACAGGGCTTCCCTGGTGGCGCAGTGGTTGAGAGTCTGCCTGCCGAGGCAGAGGACATGGGTTCGTGCCCCGGTCAGGGAAGATCCCACGTGCCGCAGAGCGGCTGGGCCCGTGAGCCATGGCCGCTGAGCCTGCACGTCTGGAGCCTGTGCTCCGCAACAGGAGAGGCCACAACAGTGAGAGGCCTGTGTACCGCAAAAAAAAAAAAAAAAAAAAAAAAAAAAAGGTCAGACAATCTTCATTTCTAAACCAAGGGATTTAGTCTTTTCTATCTATTGTAATGACATATATATTTGGATTATTATCTGCTTTTTTCTCTGTTTCATTTTTCACCATTCTTATATTCTTTTAGGTTAATTTTTTTCTTGTATTTTTCCCATTTACTAGATTGGAAATTATATCCTCTATTTCCATTTTTTTTGGTATTACTTTGAACATTTTAGCTTGCATATGTAAATGATCAAAATCTAAAGTTAACAAATATACTTACTCTTATCTCAAATAATTGAGAACATTAGAATGCTTTAACATCAGTTGTCTGATTTGTAACTTATACACTATTATTGTCATCTATTTTAGTTTTACCTTAAAAAAAATTTCCACAAGACATTAACATTGTTGTATGTGGTTAATATTAATTTAGATTTACTCCTAATTTTTTCTCTTTCTTCTTTTAAATCCTTGTTATATCTCAGTCCTTCCAACTGGGGTTACTTTCCTTTTGCCTAGTATGCCCTTCTTTTAGTTTTTGGTAGCAAACAGTTTTTACTTATCTTAGATTACTTAAAAATTTATTTTTAATTTTACTTTTACTAAGTGAACTTAGTCTTTTATTTTGCCCTCATTCACATAGGGTATTTTCACTTAGCAAACGGAAGACATCATCACTGACTTTGCTGTTTTTGAGGAGTCAGCTGTAATTCTGAATATTCTTCTTTTGAAGGTAATCTGTCTTTTCTCCCTGACTGCTTTTAAAATCTTCTCTTTTCTTTGGGTCTCTTCAGTTTTTTAATTTTTCCTGCTCATGGTTCTTGAATCTGTGGATTGATATCTTGCATCATTTCTGAAAAATTATCACCCATTATCTCTTCAAGTATTGTCTCTTATCCCCTCTGTTCTTTATAGAAAACTCTGATTAGGTGTATGCTAGACCTTCTCATTTTGACCTTCATGTCTCTTAACCTCTCTTTTATATTTTCCATTTCCTTGCCTCTTTATGATGCATTTTTGGATCATATTTTCAGATATTTCTTTCAGATTATTAATTTTCTCTTCATCTTTATCTAATGTGCTTTAAACTGCAAGTGAGGTCAGCCTATGGTATGAATTCTCAATGAAGATTATTTTTTCTTCCACACAGAGAAAATGTTTGAGATGGTCTATTTTACTTGCAACCACTGAGAGTTATTGTCTCTGGTTTGCCTTTTCAATGAAATTTATCCATTTGTGGCTCTTGTTTTATGAGAGGAGAGGGTCTCCTGTTAGAATTCCCATCTTGGCTGGGCCCTGAAATTTGTCTCCTGCACCCTTCCCCTCAAGACCGTGGAAACAGAAGTTTGCTGGGTTTGGAAAATTCCCTCAAGATAAAGATCCAGCTTCAGCACTCTGTTTACCTCTCTGGGTCTCTAGTATGTCTTGCTTTATTGCTAGGTCAGTGATATGTTCCGAAAGATTTTTTTTTAATTTTTTTTTTTTTTTTTTTTTCGGTACGCGGGCCTCTCACTGTTGTGGCCTCTCCCGTTGCGGAGCACAGGCTCCGGACGCGCAGGCTCAGTGGCCATGGCTCACGGGCCCAGCCGCTCCGCGGCATGTGGGATCCTCCCACACCGGGGCACGAACCCGTGTCCCCTGCATCGGCAGGCGGACTCTCAACCACTGCGCCACCAGGGAAGCCCTAAAAATATTTTATCCTGATGTTTTTAGTTGTTTTGTCAAATTTTCTGGTCTCAATCAAGTTTTTTCTTTCCCTTTAAATCACAATTCTCTATGTGTCCTCAGTGATTGAATCAATGAGTCTCATCACTTTAGGGGAAGGACAGATGGAGTCATTCCAGCTGAAACCAAGAAGTCATTGTTTAGAGCCCCAAATATGCCCTAATATTTAGACTGTAGTGAAGCAACAGTCTAGAAATCTGAGGCTTTCTTTTTTTTTAAGAGAGAAATGAGCTCTTCAAAATACCAGAGACTGTGGTTTGGGTAGCCTGAGCCAGTGGCTAGATGAATTATATGCCTAAGACTCAGGGTTTGCAGCATAATGAGATCCAACATAGAGCCAGGGGTGGAGGGGTGGCACAGAGACAAATAGGCCCAGCATAAGCCAAGAAAAAAAACTGTGAGTTGTGCTAATTGTAGGCTTTTCTTCAGAGGTTTAGGAAGGCTAAAACCTAGAGAGCAGAAAGGATAACTTACTTCTCAGCTGGAGGTGAACAGGTATCAGCAGGTTGCCCAGTATCCAAAGAGGAGAAGAGCACATCCTTAGAGATCTTTGAGGATCAAGGACAAGTACCACATATAGACCATGAACCCTTTTTCCCAGTGGTATATGGTTTATTGAACTTTCATCTATGCCCAGAAACCACATTGAGGCAGGGGAAAGGAAGGGTATATCCTTGAAAAGAAATAACAGTTCTGGTAAGAAGTTTGAACATTTAATTTGATTCAATATGTATCCAAAAGTATAGAGCTAAAAACTAGACAAAAAAGGCTTTTCCAAATTGGCAGAAATGGGGACACTTCCAATTGGAATATTAAGTTTCCCACCCGCCTGGAGGTGGACAGGGTTGCCTCATAAGGAAGTGTACTTTCTTATACAGGGAAAGAGAACAATTTATAATTATTGTAGACTTCACAGATATTGTGCTTACATTTTTTTCAACCTCAGTATACAGGTAAAGTAATTCAGTTAACTAATTAATTGACTTAAATGATGAATGGTAATTATATTAGGAAATCTAACTTAACCATATTCCTTTTAACATTTACCTTTTAGAACAATAACATTTTTGCTAATAGTCTAAAATGTGACAACTAAATGATCTTAGGAATGAAAATGGATTGCCCCACAGTTCTCTAGCCATTCAAACAGAACAGTAGCTTTTGGTGAAATGGTTAAAACGTCACTGTACTCCAACAAAAGCCTGCCTTTGACCTGTAAACTGAACAGAAAGGACTAAGGCACTAAATAAGCTAAAGTGAGGAAAATGGACCATGTATTTCAAAATGACTCAGCCTAAGGATCCTCTTATTTCTTGAAATGTTTGAGGAAGAGAAGAAAACACTTACCAAGCAGAGAACAGAGATAGTTCTCTTTCAAATTCAACGCACTGTACTTGACTTCAAGTCTGGATTTATCTTATGTGAAGGAACCGTAATTTCTTCCAACCCCACTTCCACATAATTGACTTTTTAAGCAAAAAGATGATTTTATCTATGTATAATTAAGCACAATGAACTTTTTTCTTGGAAAGACTTTACATATAAATAGACTGTAATTAGGAAATGTGATATTCATATTGTGGGATTCAGAACCCTTTGATCACTATAAGCATATATGTTAATTTTATTCCAGATTTAATCTACCAACTTTATTACTTATCTAACCACTATTTATTATATATTTAGGCAATGCAGACAAAGCAAAAAAGGAGACAGACATGGTCCCTACCTTCATTGAGCTTACAGTTTAAGAAGTATAGGCTGTGTGTCAAAAAGGAAGGAACCAGAAAAGGACAAAGGCAGACTCTGTGAATAAAGGACAAAGAAGGGAGAGAAAGAAGAACTCACAGAAAAAGTTTGGTATCCCATTTCAAGGCTGTTTGCTGAGCCAGTTTATTCAGTCAGAGAGTTAGTATGAGGAGAGTTAGCTAGGCTGATTGTCTGAATGGGCTTGAAAATTAAGTCAAAATATTGAATCTAAAAAAACTATCTAAGAAACACTATCCTGAGTGAGATTCAAAATCTTCTGCTAATTCCTTGACTAGAACTTTTCAAAAGAGAATGATGACCAAGGGAAGATTTCAGGAAATATGTACAATGAGAATTATATTTGTGGTGACTCAGAGTACATTAATACCAAACTATTTACCTCTCTCAGTGGTGGCAACTGATTTCACCTTTTTCTCCTTGTTAAATATTATTCATTCTAAAAGGCAATTGATGTTATGTTTTATGAGCAAATAAGATTTCATGTATCTTGGTACATCAGTATTTTTAAAATATGTTAAAACCTCCTAAAACCACAAGATTAATGAATTATTTTGGTTAATTCTGTGACCAACTTCACAGAATTTCTAGAAACCAATTTCTAGAAACTCAGGTTATTTCTCACCCTTATGGGAAAAGTCATAAATTGAGAAGTTGTACTTCTTAACATTTAATGGTAAAATGCAATGAATTTTCATATTCGAGGATGAAATCATTGCAAAAAGTAAATCTAAAGAGACTTAAAATTTTAGAATGAGCCACTGGATAGTGATTTTAATCTCTCTAAATTACTGAAGTAAAA